TTTACACGCGATACTCTCCTTATGCACGGCAATCCGCAATCTTACGAAAGTGTGGACATGTATCTGCTTTCATCACGGGGTATTTCGGCATAAGAAAAAAAATGTGCTTGCTCGGAGTTTATCGAACCAACCCCGCGCTTGCCCGCTTCTATTCTCTCGTTACTTTTGGCTGAAGTGCATTTTGAGGGAAAAAAACGTGACTTATATGTAATCAACATCACAAAACCGATGGTTTTAAGACCCTGCAGAGTACGATATGAAATATTCTTGGCTGGCATAATATCATATTTCGTCATATGCAATATTACATTTTATCATCGTAAAATAATATATATTATTATTATATATTTATGATTTATATATCTTCAGTCAATAGTTATACAATAGTTCAAAATTTTTCGTAATTTATTTATTGTTAAATTTATTTTATTCGAAACCTGAAGTTACAATGCGCGCCTTGTTGCAGTTAAACGATGATAAAAAAATAGATATAAAAATAACTAACAAAACAAAATTTGATTGTCTTAATTGTTCCTAAAGCTCAATTTATCAAAAGCCTTTAACTACCAGAATTAATTGAAGCTATTTACATCCTTCAGGATATAATATTGTTTTCAGGAAATGTATGATTTAATTAAGCCTTAATTAAGATCTCGTTGTTACCAGACATAAGATCTATGTAAGAAATTTCTGATTCTACGTACTCGCAATGCGAGTTATTCCGCACATTCTCCGTGTAATCATTTATGCATATCGGTTACTGTCACGTTCAAGAAAGATGTAATAATTGTCTGCATTTTACGCGACGGATATCAAACGACACCCTCCTTAAATGCACTTGGCAGGAATCCCCTTCTCAAGGGAAATTGCGAAGGCACAATCGAGCACTCGCGGGATTTGGCGAGTTCATTTACTCACCGATTTAAATGTCTTGATTAGAGATAAAAACTTGCAAACTCTGCATCCCTAAGTTTTCGCTTCATTAATTTTTCTTTTCTTTTTTTAAAATGGTATTTTTTGATTTTTAAAAAATGATTCATTCCTATGGTCAGAAAACATCAGCACCTTAGGTAAGCGTAAATCTCGATCTCTCCATGTCTAATCATTTTCGAGCTTAATATTCTCATAAAAATTTCTAATATTATGATATACCTTGTCAGTTTAGAACTTGCAAAAGTATCGCAAAAATTCACTGTTTTAAACTTATTATCAGCGCATTTTGTCGCATTCCAAGCACACAATATGGCACGTGACACATAAAGAACAAGTGTTACCTTGATAAGAATCACATGTTATTGGCTTGCGCTAGGATACAATATATTTCGTAATATCCACAACAGTGGGCTCGACTTGAAAGGACGAATTTTTAAAGAATTCCGAAAATCGTGACTTCCGGAGCAATATTCTCGGATATATGCAAACAATTTTTACGCACATACGCATGCCCTCACATACAACTTGTCTTATACGTCAATTTACATCTTGGAGTAAAGAAATTCAATTATATCGCTCAAGGATCTTTGCAGTTGATGCGATTTAGCAAACTCCACAAGGAATTTCTAACATTCGCAGAGACACGAAGTTTCTGCTCGTGACACGTATTTTCTAGTATAATGCGAACGAAATATGTTGTTTTGTACGACGCTGTTCGTTAACTTCGCCATTGAGAACGAGCATATAACGACAAATTGGGATCCTTTGATGTAGTTGAAATGTCTCGTTTATATCATCTTCATAATTTTTCGGTAGATTAGAATATCCTGACATTCTTTTTTCCTACGTCTTCTAAATTCAAATTTAAACAAACTGTAATAAGATGTAATAAAAAATTTACATGCATAAGAAGTTATATCATTTTCTGATTTTTTTTCAAAACAATTAAAAAGATAGAAATATTTGAAGATTAGATGACAATGTAAAATCACTATTATCTTACCCACAATGTTTTCTTGAAAAAGTGTATTTAAATCTTCAAATGAAAAATAAAATCGTCAAATTATTGCATCAATTCTATTTAAATATTAAATATTTAATATTAAAAAAATTTTAACGTTGCAATATGCACCAGATGTTGAGAAACAAATATAACTTGGCTCAAATTGGAGGAAGTAATAGACTCTAAAGCTAGTTCTCTCCTCTTACAAGAGTCAGCTGTTTGTCAAATCAACATTTCTTATCGCTAAGATATACACCTGCGTAGAGCGAATATGACAAATCTCTGTAATTCATCGTTAAGCTAAGCTGACGTAAGCTAAATCCTGCTTTTCCGTTTCCACATATTTAATACATATACGTTCAAGTGGATGTTCAATATAATTTTAACTGTTCCGAATTTCATCAAACCGTTTTCATTCTATTATTTATATCTTAAATCTTAAATTACGGGTTTGCAAGAAACATCTAAATAAATCAATCCTGAATTCTTATAAATAGTAACATCAGATAGAGTAGAAATCCTTTCCTTTATAACTAATTCTAAAATAAAAAAAGCTGTTGATTTCTGCTTGCAATAAACTACTTTCGTTCAAATTTTTTTTTCAAAGTTTTAAATTGTTCTAACAGTAAAATCTTCGGACAATTAACTTAACGGTTTGTTTTCTTAAAAATCCATATTAAAATTTAATGTACTTTTCCATTGGTTATTCCATTAGACACTTATGTTGACTTCTTTCTAGTAATTGGACAGCAAAATGATTTAGATTCCAATCAAGAGCTTTTCGCGCAATTATTGTACAGAAAAGCTGTACAATATTTAAAGTCAATTACTTAGCAATTAAAAGCTAATAAATAAATAAGAAACTATGTAATTGAAATACATAAGTAATAAATTCATTAAAGCATAATATATTAAATAAAAGTTTAATATATTATATTTAATATATAAAATTAAATTTTAATTATAGCCTTTATTTTAAGTTATATAATTCTATTTTAGATATATAGAAATATCTAAACACGGAGAATGGGGTCATGAAATTTAAAAATATTAGAAGCAATGTAGTATCCTAAAGCTATTTTGGAAATGAAAATGCATCAAACGGATTCAAATAGGACAATGGAATTAAAAGAGCAATTGTTACACAGCTCGACAATGGAGACACGTACGCTCATGCATTCGCATGAATGCGGTTTGCCTCAGGCATTGGTTCACACATGCAATACGACATGCATCGCAAATAATTAGAATCTTTATAGAAACAAAGAGAGATACGCATATACAGAAGTTATATGCACATACATGTTGTTGTCAAAAGATGATTTTCGACCGTGTCTCTTTGTTTGAAATATACTGCATGCGTAGCTTTCTTTACAAGAATTCCAAGATGCGTGATTTCAATTTTTAATAATAAATTCTATAATAAATTTATAATTATTACTTTGATCATGTTTAAAGTACAGAGCACAAATAAATAAATAATAAAAATAAAATTATTTAAATATCTGAATGTCGCCTTGTCAAAATTCCTTCATGTATAAATAATAAACATTATATGAAAAATCTTGCATAATCTTTTTTACAAAATTAATAATTTTTTAAAACTTAAGGCAAAATATGTTGAATAAATGATTTAACCGAGTTTAACCGAAGCTAACAGAAGTTTTAAATTAACAGAGCTTTAATGGAGTAAAATAAAATTTTTTGTCTGTAATAAATTATTCACACTTCCAATTATTTCCGAATATATATAT